GAAAATAAAATCTTTTACAATTTTTATTATACCATTGGTTCCTGCTTCCCAAATCCATGGAGGAAAAGTGGCATTTACTGGACTTTTTGTTCTTCACCCCTTGTGTACACACTGTGTTATGGTAATTAGGCTAGAGTCAGCAGTAATAGGACCTTAGGTTAACGATTGGCCTTTGTCTTCATAGATCTTTAACAACCCATCTAGATCCTCTACCTCAGCACAGGTGATAAATTGTTTTGTCCACCTTTTTCTGGGACAAGTCCCTCAGAAACCCTTAAAACCGATTAAAATGATTGTTTTACCAGGTACAAACCGGGCCTTGCTTATGCATAGGAGTCTAGGGTCCAAATCTGAATGTCTGCTGATGAACAGCTTATTTAAGTTGAAATACTGTTTTAAATTATTTTGCCTGTTGTAATTGGTCAGCATTTTCTTCCCATTTCTTCTTTTTATTCCATTTACATACTGTATAATGGTTCATTCCTTTCCAATCTTTCAGCTTTTAGCAGGAAACAAAAGCACATACAAATCAGTTTGGAAATATCCATGATTCCATGATTAGATTCTACATCACTTAAAATTGGTTAGCTCAATTTAAGTCAGGTTTTTTTTTTTTTTTTTTAAGATTCATCATGTCTTTTTTGATATAGATGCACATAGTGTTAAAAGACTGGGACAATTTTTTAAGTTTTTTTTTATATAAAGTTTTATTAATGCCTTTTTAGCATACTTATTTTTATATAGATACTATTATAACATTACTAGTTCATCAAGTGGAAATTGCTTGGTAGATTAACAGCTGTATCTGTTCAATAGTGACTGTAATCAGCTGCTTAATATACATACCACTGCAGCCTGTTAAGCAGAGATCATCAATACAGGAACTGTTACGCCAATGCAGGTTATTTTGACATTCAAACCGATTTTTGAAGCAGATATAGATTTTTCTTCTTCCATTTACATGTATATTTACATCCATTACCTGGATGACTGAGAATATTCACCAGTATATCCATTTACATGGAAAAATGAAACAATGATAACAAATATTACAGTAAAGGGCAAAGTAACTTTTGTTTCCACAGAATGATATCCCAAACATCCATCCATTTTCTGTCATGTTTATCCCTACTGGGGTCGTGAGGGGTGCTGCTGCCTATCTCCAGCTGTTTAAGGGCTAGAGGCGGGGTACACCCTAGACAGGTCACCAGTCTATCACAGGGCAACACAGACACAAACAGGACAAACATCCATTCACGCACACACTCACACTGAAAGAGAATTTAGAGAAGCCAATTAACCTAACAGTCATGTTTTTTGATTGTGGACGGGAGCCGGAGTATACGGAGAGAACCCTTACATGCTCAGGGCAAACATGCAAATTCCATGCAGAAAGACCCCGGGGCAGGGAATCGGACCCGGAAAGAAAGAAACTATCTTTGTGGAAGCTTTATTTTTTTGTAAATGCCAGTCTGTTGTGGTGACCCAAAGGAAAATATTTAACTGTTTATTGTCAAGGTATTTGAGATGTCAGCTACCTTTTTCCTGACACTGGTCTTGTACAAGTTTTGTATAGCGGAGGGGTCAGCACTGATTATGCACTGTGCAGACTGGTTTGCATAATGCTGTCTGGGCCTGTCATGTTTTTCTGACTGAGCCACAAAACTAAATAATGGCCAAATATGGCAGAATACATTATGGCCCTTTTTGAAAACCAGAAAAAATTAATTATTTATTTTTTATAATTTTTTTTTTTTAGTTTTGAAAGAGTAAACAAGTACAATTTTTGTAATGCCCTGATACCTATAACAAGCTTGTTTCTTTCAATTTTTTTTTTACTAAAATTAAATCATTATGTGAAACAAGTAAAGATTAATAATTATTTTCTTTTATTGTTTTTTTTTTTAAAGGTGACTGTTTTAAAACCCCAAAAAGTAAAAAAAAAGAATGGACCTGGGAATCAGAAGCCATGTGGGAAGCTGTATTGTAATTATCACATTTCTAAGTATATTCAAATAAAAGTAAATTATATAAGGACCTTAATGTACTATTATGATAAATTAGGAAAGGGAGAACCTGAGTTGTTGCCCTGTTTTATTGACCAATTCAAGCAAAAGACATCATTGGCAGACATTGTTCTGTTTTACAGCAATCAAATAGCCTTCAGTTTTAAATAATTCTAAATAAAACTATTTTTGAATTTTAAGAAATGAAGAACATTAACAGACACAATAGGGTGAATGTTTAAGAAATTCCACTTCTGGGTATTGTTAAGCTGCTATTGATAATGTTAGCATCTGCTTTGTAGTTTCATGCAGCACTTAAATTTTTTTTTTTTTTCTTTTTAAAGAATCTAAAGCAGTTTGGAGACTATTTAGTTTAGAATTAAAATGGTCACCAACTCTAAACTAATGACTTACCTGAAAGGACAATTCTTAAAAAAACTGACGTGTAAAAAAAATTGAAAGTGTAAGATTAGATGATTTACAGTTTTTTAAACCAGTGGGATGTTCTTCAACTATAAGTACAGCCCCTGCTGTGTCCTCCTAGTGAGGGATGTGAGGGAATAGAGTCTACAGCGTTTAGCATCTCGAACCTCTTTGAACTGTAACAGTTGTAATAAGTCTCTGTCCTAACAACTAAATGCTTCCTCCTTCTACAACCATAGTGGTCTGATTTCAGCCATTAACAAGGATTTATCATTATAACACGAGTGCATATTGGTAAACAGCTGACTTTACAAAGGTTTATGTGGAACATCACAACAATTGTTTACTCATCCAGATTGTTGATAGCAGTCCTGAAACCATCCTAGTCAGTGCACTTCAAGCCTGCCTGAAGATCAGCTATACTGGGTTTACAAAGTAGGTTTACTAAAAAGTCTTAAGTTTTCTAAACCTGAAAACAGAGAAACTGACTATTCCGTTTCACAAAGACTCACAGTCTCCATAGTAACATTCTCCCCCAGGTTTTTGAGAGCTGAAACCTGAGTCCACCTCCTCTGTTTAAGGTTGATTTTTTCCCTTTTAACATAAATGGATTCCTTTTAACATAAATGGTGATATAGTTGATTCCTTCCGAATACCATCTCAAACACCATCGCTATGCAGGGGAACAAAATACCTTGCAGGTCAGTCAACAATAACCCTTTAGGACTGTCTTTTCAGAGGAATGGGCCAGTATCAGGTATTGCAGGCCAATAAGTACTTTAACGGCTCCCATTAATAAGGGTTGGAGCTGGTTTTCCAGTTTCAATGTGCATGTTTTCTAAGCCATCACAAGGCTTTTGGGCTACTCTATAAAAGCCTGGAACACTTCCTGGATTGGAAGAGAAAAGTCTTCAAACTTGGAAAACAAAGTCCAGTGGTTTGTTTTTTAAACCTTAACTTTTTGACTATGACCTGGATGAATGAGAATCTCCACCAGGAGATCACCATTATGTTTATAGTGACTCAGAGCAGAGTGAAAAACACTCACCACTCACAGTTGTGTTGTAGCAGTCTGATGGTTTTCCTTCTCTGGTTGGACACATTAGAAACTTTGTTGTTGGCGAGTTCTTGGCTAAGGTCGCCAAGAACAATGACAAGGGATTCCAGGTTCATCTGCTCCACTGACAGGGCCTCGTCAGGGATTATGCAGTGTGCCTCATTCTCATGCATACTGGCCAGTGGTGAAATATGCAAACCAACCATGGCGAGACAGACAAACTCAAAGGTTGTTAACTGTTATTTTAATACTCTAGATTAGGATAGCAGTGCTACATCACTCTCGCATTGGAGAACGCTTTGACTATTTCTGGTCTGAACAGCTAGAAGTCAGCCAGATGGAGTGCAGAGTTCGGTTTGGACAACCAGGTCTCCATGAAGCATAAAACAGAAGATAAATAAAAGTTTCTTAATTTTCCTACTAGTAGCTGAAATTCTTTACAGTTTTTTTACATAGTGGGTACACATATGTGTATGGAGAAAAATATAGCTGGAATTGGAATCACCGCTAACAGAGATGCCCAGATGACCTGGCTCCCTTTTATCTAATGTTGCATTTCACAGCATAAAAAGCAGCAAGTGAGCCCTTTACCAAATTGCCCTATAATTCCGATACTAATACTAGAAAAGTGGTAAATAGTTCAGCTGGATATTTTTCACGATACATAAGAGCTCATTTCTATTACAAGGAATGATGCGAGAAAACAGCATTAAGAAACAGACACGAAACAAAGCACAACTAGCACTGAGGCAGCTATACACGGCACCATATTGGATGCAAGTGATTTATTACTAAATTCTAACCTATTGCTTATAATTTCAGTAACATACACAACAATGATTCCCATATGCAGCCTTGATCATTATGTTTAATGCTTTAAATAACCTTTTTGGGTTAGGGAAAAAAGCTTTCTATTTGCATTTTTCTATTTGTGAATGTCAAAAATGCCTAACTAAATTCACACACAAATCACAGTTAATACTGTACATGTTTGACTTGCAAACATTCAGGATTACTGAAGACTGACTGTGACTGCCAGTATATCTATCTTGGTGGATCATTTTCTGTTGGGCACCAGACTATCATTTACATTTTATTCACAGTAATGCATGTTGCATGTCTATGTTTGTGCATAATCCTCTACATGTTCTGAATTCATGTTTGTGTGGATTCCAAAATGAGCATCTGGGTGATCCCAATAAGACACTAGGAAGTCTTGATAGACTTACGGTGAATGACGAGCAGTGGCTGTCATCGCCAAAGGCTGGCTTGGGGTTCAGCACCACTGCTGGACCCTGAAAACTCATTTTGGCAGATGCATTTCCTCTCTTGCTGAAGATGTACAAAAGAAAATTGATTCAAATTATTTCTGTGGGAACATAGGCCTGAAAATTAACACAGTAAAGGAAACAAAATGTACCTGGGGCTGCAATATTTGACACCTGGCCCAGTGTCAGTGAATAGAAGCACTTTACAGAAGGTTTCTCACTTTCTTTTTTCTCTTCAATTTGCAGGGAGCTGACACAGAGGAGGTGGCCCTTATTATAACCTGAAGAAGACAGGACCCAGTGCCTGACCTTGTGTTTGTCGAAAGTGCCAAAGAAGAGAAGGGGAAAAGCGTCATTGGTAAAAAGAAAATTGGTGCCTTCTCCTTTCAAGCCAGAGCCCTTTCAACCTTACTTCACGCTACTCTTAGGGGCTCAACTGTCCCTTTGACTTCACCAGAAGCCTCCCCCAACCCATCTGCCAGCACAGATAACCGTCTGATTGTTGGCACCCACATGTTTGAGGTGACTCTCTGTGACCACCGCTGCCCATTTTCGAGCAGAAGCAGTGACTTGCAAACCCATTCTGCACCATGCAGTGGAGACGGCGGCACTGTTGTCCTATTAAGATGACCTGGACCATCAAACGTTCCCTCTTTCGGACCCATGTGGCAGGTCTACTTTCTCTGGCTCTACTCTTCACATTGCTTTTATTTCTTAGCCACCAGGAATGGCTGCCTGGGCGCAGTGGGCCTCGTGACACCCCTGTAACATACACCATCAGGGGTCTTCGGAGTCCCAAGGGGGATGCCAACCAGAGCAGTTCTCTGAGGAGCCTGTGGAAGGAGACGGGGAATGGAGCCCCAAAGCCTCTTCTCAACCTCAGCTCTCAACAAGCAGAGGGGACACCAGCTCAGCCAGGAGGAGGGGGTGAAGCTGGAGAAGGATCTAGAACGAGTGTAATGGGGCTTGGGGACTCATTTAGCTCTAACAACAGTTTACAGAAGGAGATGGATGTAGGAGAGAAACTCAGTGCTCAACCCTTCCGCTACATCTTGAATGAGCCTTATAAGTGCAGGGACAGTACCCCCTTCCTCATATTCCTTATTGCTGCTGAGCCTAGACAGACAGATGCACGTAATGCCATCCGGCAGACATGGGGAAATGAGACTGTAGCAGGGGGGGTTGGGTTTGTTCGACTTTTTCTTCTTGGCACAGGGAAGAGTTTAGATGCTTTTCTTCAAAGTAGCATTGAAGAAGAGAGCCGTGTTTACCATGATATCATCCAACAGGACTATCAGGACACGTACTACAACCTAACCACCAAAACCTTGATGGGGATGAACTGGGTGGCAACCTATTGCCCAAAAGTCTCCTATGTGATGAAGACAGACAGCGACATGTTTGTCAATACTGAGTATCTTGTTCAAAAGCTGCTAAAACCTGAACTACCCCCCAAAAGGAGATATTTTACAGGATATTTAATGAGGGGCTACGCACCAAACAGAAACAAGGAAAGCAAGTGGTACATGCCGCCAGAGGTTTATCCAAGCGAGCGCTACCCCATATTTTGCTCAGGCACAGGGTATGTGTTCTCAGGGGACCTGGCCGAATTGATCTATCAGGCCTCACTTAGCATACGCAGACTGCACCTGGAGGACGTTTATGTAGGAATCTGCCTGGCAAAGTTACGCATTGACCCAACACCCCCTCCCAATGAGTTCCTCTTCAACCATTGGCGCGTCTCTTATTCCAGTTGTAAGTACAGCCACCTGATAACGTCCCATCAGTTCCACCCCAAAGAACTTATGAAGATATGGAATCACCTGCAGAGCAACAAGCACAACGCCTGTATTAATACTGCCAAGGAAAAGAACAGCAGACACAGAAAGTTCCATGGACACAGAGCTCCATGAATTATTCCTTGATGACCGCCTGCCTCAGAAAAAAGGATGTTGCTTGAAACAAGGAAATATTCAACTTGGCACTAAACACTATATAAGAAAAAAGCACATTGTTTTTGGTATTGTGTACAGCAACCTATTTTTTTATTTTTAAAGTAATTACAAACCTTTCAAACTATTTCCGAAAGGAAGAACTGGAAACATGATTGTTTGATGCACAGAGAAAGCTGCAGCTCAAAATCTGGGTTTAGGACAATTCAGGTGCTAACAGATTGGTGGAAATTGATGCTCTTAATGATAGTGCAGTACATCAGAGTCTACAATGTTTAAAGAGAGTGGTTAAAAAAAAAACACCACTTTGTTTACACAGACAAAGGGAAATGTACGTTTATTTTGAAAAGTTACACTACCTAAATATAAATTAATGAATGATCTAAATCTTTAACATGACCAGTTATGCTGCCCTGTTTTTTGCTGTTTAAATTACAGATCTATCAAAAGACACCTCTAATAGTGGGTTTCTTCTCATCCAATGTATTTTATTTTTGAAAGGTTTCACATAAAGCAACCACAATCACATCAGAGATGACTGAGATTGTATTTTCTAAAGCTTTACATTGAGTATAACTCTGCACTTAAGTAAATGTGCAATGACTCATTTGAAAAAAATAAATAAATGTACTGAATTCATTTTGCTTGAATTTCTTGTATCTTTTTACCTCATCAATTGCATTGGGGTCCACAATATTGACATTATTCCCAGTAGGGGTCATTTTGACCCCTACCAAGATTTTAGCTACAATTTAGACACCAACATGGTTCAGTCACTTACTTTTTAGCATTGATTAAAAATGTCTAGTTACTTCATGTTTTTTTGTCGATGCTCTGGCTACTGTGTGTTGAAAAGATTCCATGAATCTTGTAATGAGGGTGTGATTTTGTATTTGACATGGCTGTATTAGGTTTGATTGCTGGTGCATGAACCTCTAACACACGTGTTTCAATGCCTAAAAGTAAATTTGGTGGTGACATTCCATTACAGTTCCAAACTGCTATTAACATTTCAAGATGCATCTTGAAATGGACAGATAGCGAGATCAAAGTTGGGAAGAACAGCTGTGATATGATCAAACATCTTCAGTGCAGAAGGTATGCCACAGATGCTGCCATTATTTAGATGAGGATGTATTAAAAAACACCTTGCAGGGAATTACCGAAATTCGACAAAAATAAGGTAAGGCATGGATTACTTTCATAAAGTCATGTAATTGACTTTATGCGTGTTGCATGTCTACGTTTGTGCATACTCCTCTACATGTTCTGAATTCATCTTTATGTGTGTTCGACAATGAGCATCCTGTGTGATCCCAATAAGACACTAGGAAGTCTTGATAGACTGACGGTGAATGACGAGCAGTGGCTGTCATCGCCAGAGGCTGGCTTGAGGTTCAGCACCACTGCATGCTGGACCCTGAAAACTCATTTTGGCAGATGCATTTCCTCTCTTGCTGCCGATGTACAGCGGGGGGCTGATGGCACTCGGCAACCTACGTGGTTTAGAGTAGATTTAGCTGACACCATGCACCATGCAAGCGTGGAATTTATACATTGGCCCAAGGCTTATGCATGTGATAGCTGAGCTAACACATGTTGCTGTCTCCTAGTTTTACATTTAGTGTTCATATTTTCAACCAAAAAGAGGAAAAAAATATCAGTACGTTGGTAATTTAGGAATGACATGTTCTTGACTGACAGATTTTAAAATTATATTTTTTTCTGTTTAAACTGTCAGGCAGAGTTTCATTAAAAGAGTACCATTCCCCTTTTTATTTCCTTTATTTTATTTTTTTGATTCTGTGGATGTCCATGCCATGCTTTTTAAATAAGCTTGCTGCAGGACCATGCTGTGTTTCCATTCCTGGCTAATCCAATATTCAACAGTTCTTTAATATTTTAGAATATCCCTTTCAAACTGTTATTTTAGCTTAGAAAAAGGAAAGATTTACCTTAATAGGCTGTGTATCTATGAAATACTTTAATTGAGAGCCTTTCATCTTGACAAAATTGATTCAAAATATTTCTGTAGAAACATAAGCCTCAAAATTAACACAGTAAAGGAAACAAAATGTACCTGGGGCTACAATATTTGACACCTGGCCCAGTGTCAGTGAATAGAAGAAGCACTTTACAGAAGGTTTCTCACTTTCTTTTTTTCTTTTCAAATTGCAGGGAGCTGACACAGAGGAGGTGGCCCTTATTATAACCTGAAGAAGACAGGACCCAGTGCCTAAACTTGTGTTTGTCGAAAGTGCCAAAGAAGTGAAGGGGAAAAGCGTCATTGGCGGCTGGTGAAAAATCTTTTTGGTGGGGCTGATATAGCCTAGTGTATGTCTCCAACTAATCCAGAATAAGAATTCAAATAAACAATTGGACAAACAATACAATTTAACAGTAATGATTTAATTTACTATATAATAACAGTAACAGTGATGATTTTGATCACTGTGACAGGGTTCTTTGGCCTCCAAGAATCCACGCTCAGTCGGGTTACCGGTGTTGGTGATTTATTGTGCTCAAAAACTCAAAACAGGGTGCAAATGAAACTAAACATATACAAGATACTCTAGGCCTCAGCCTCCTTCCAGTTACCAGCAATGTAACAAAGAAACAGAAAACAAAAATGGCCGCTCTTCTTCCCACAGCCCTCATTAAATAGTTTAAGCCCCTCCCCTGAGGCTCTCTTATTTCTGATTTCTTCTCATAAATCCGTTTTGTCTATATTACCTCCACAAACAATTGATATACAAAAACAAATAATTTTTACAACTTAATTCCTTTACACAGATTCATTGACTTATTCAATTACACCAAACTTTTAAACATTAAAAAAAATAATAATAATAATCTGACAAACATTTAGCGAGTCACGTGTTTGTGACGTCACTTCCGCATTCCAACAACTCTGGCGTTTTAACCGCTTACTGAGCGTTGCCTCGGGTTTGAACCCAGCAAAGACGCCGCCAGACTGAAGATGACAAGTCCCCATGATGGCAGATTCTCTGCACATGTGGGGCAGTCTGATCAGCCCCAAGACAGAGACGGTAGGAGTCTGTCTGTGGAAATCCACAAATAAATGACAGTAGGTTGGGAAATGTAGTTTATATAATTTGTTTTGCTTATAGGTACACACTCTAGAGAGTAAAACTGACATTTATGAGTTAATTTGTATATTTTACGTTTCACTTTTCTTATCAGGGAGGGCGGTGCCCCAGCGCCCCCTATGGGCCGGCCGCCACTGCAGCAGACACAGAAAGTTCCATGGGCACAGAGCTCCATGATTTATTCCTTGATGACTGCGTGCCTCAGAAAAAAGGATATTGCTTGAAACTAGGAAATATTCAACTCGGGACTAAACACTATATAAGAAAAAAGCACATTGTTTCTAGTATTGTGTACAGCAACTTATTTTTCAAATTTAAAAGTTATTACAAACCTTTCAAACTATTTCCAAAAGGAAGAACTGGAAACATGATTGTTTGATGCACAGAGAAAGCTGCAGCTCAAAATCTGGGTTTAGGATAATTCAGGTGCTAACAGATTGGTGGAAATGGATGCTCTTAATGATAGTGCAGTACATCAAAGTCTACAATGTTTAAAGAGAGGGGTTAAAAAAAAAACACTTTGTTTACACGGGCAAAGGGAAATGTATGTTATTTTGAAAAGTTACACTACCTAAATATAAATGAATGAATGATCTAAATCTTTAACATGACCAGTTATGCTGCCCTGTTTTTTGCTGTTTAAATTACAGATCTGTCAAAAGACACCTCTTAGAGTGGGTTTTGTTCTCATCTAATGTATTTTATTTTTGAAAGGTTTCACATAAAGCAACCACAATCACATCAGAGATGACTGAGATTGTATTTTCTAAAGCTTTACATTGATTATAACTCTGCATTTAAGTAAATGTGCAATGACTCATTTGAAAAAATAAATAAATGTACTGAATTAATTTTGCTTGAATTTCTTGTATCTTTTCACCTCATCAATGGCATTGGGGTCCACAATATTTACATTATTCCTAGTAGGGGTCATTTTGACCCCTACCAAGATTTTAGCTACAATTTAGACACCAACATGGTTCAGTCACTTACTTTTTAGCATTGATTAAAAAATGTCTAGTTACTTCATTTTTTATGTTGATGCTCTGGCTGCTCTGTGTTGAAAAGATGACATACTGTAAATCTTGTAAAGAGGGTTTGATTTTGTATTTGACACGGTTATATTAGCTTTGATTCCCGGTGCATGAACCTCTAACACACGTGCTTTAATGCCTAAAAGTAAATTTGGTGGTGACATTCCATTACAGTTCCAAACTGCTATTAACATTCCAAGATGCATCTTGAAATGAACAAATAGCAAGATCAAAGTTGGGCAGAACAGCTGTGATATGATCAAACATCTTCTGTGCAAAAGGTATGCCACATATGCTGCCATTATTTCTTATTATAAGTTCTACTGTTGTTTTTCTTCGATTTGATCTCACCACACGTTTAAGTGATCTCCGATCACGATCATTAAGGATTTTTTTCCGGCCACATTTCTTCCTTGAAGATGATTGGTCCCCACTATCCTTCCAGTTTTTAATAATGCGTTGGACAGTTCTTAACCCAATTTTAGTAGTTTCGGCAATCTCTTTAGATGTTTTCTCTGCTTGATGCTTGCCAATGATTTGACCCTTCTCAAACAGACTAACATGTTTTCCACGACCACGGGATGTGTCTTCTTTTCAAAAAGAAGAATACTTTAATCAGAAAAGTTTGAATGATATGATTTCAGGGTCATCCTATTATTACCGACCCTGACCCCCCTTGGCAAGGATCTTGTGATCTTCAACATCAGAAGTTGGAGTCTGATCCTAATCATTAGAGCAGACTTTACTAAGTCTACAGCAAAATAATTATTGAAAACTCTCAGGAGAGCCATAATGGGTAATTGATATCTGGGTCACAATTATTTTGATTTGAAAAATAAAATATCAAAAAATAAATGATAGAAAGATTTTACCATATTTAGAAACCTATGTACCCTGCGACAGACTGGTGACCCCTCCAGGGTGTACCCCACCTTATTCATGCCTGTCAAAGATAGGCACTGGCTATTTTCCCCAAGACGGAATAAGCAAGAGCAAATGGATGGATGGAAACCACTGCATTGAATTAGCTCCTAATGACCAATATGCAATGCACAGGGTGACCAGATGTCTCAAATTGTGTGAGACCATGCCAGGTTTTTCATTTCTGTCCTTCTTTCCCACCATTCCAAAAATGTCAGACATTTTTCACTAAAATGAGACAACACAGTTAAAAGAAAAAACATCACCAGATACTTTTCCTAAATGCAAAGAAGGCAGAGCTGCAGTCATTTTCACAGAGCTGTGGCCATGCCCCGCATCAGGACTAACCTGCACAGAAGGCTTTTAAAACAGAACACGTAAAGTTCAATCCAAAACTTGATTTAATCTTTTTCCAAAGAAAGAAAATACAGCCATAACAAAAACTGCAGGATTGTTTATTGTAACCACATGATGACATTGGAAGGTGATTCTCAGATAGCTTTATGTAAAGTTTGCCAGAGTTATTTTAAAATTGGATACAAAGGAATTGGGATGTAAAGCAACTCCGTAAAAG